CAGCATACAACAGATATAGTCCAGTGTTTCAGTGTACAACAGATATAGTCCAGTGTTTCAATATACAACAGATGTAGGCCTCTGTTTCAATATTCCAGACTGCTGTTTGTCCATCTCCAGAGTTTTCATCCCACTTGTATCAATGTCTGCCTCTTGGTTTCTTGCATTCAGCTTTTCCTCCAGTAAAACTTTTAAAACAACGGTGTGTATTATAGTCTGTTTTTTTCCTCAGATGTTTTTGTCTCCATGAAAGAAGACAGATACTTCTATATATCTCTATTTTTATAGACTCACAGTTTTATTGTTCATGTTTGCTTGTCCGTTGTCTGATTTTATGTACCCCACAGTATTGTTGTGTACATAACATTCGGTTATTCTCATTTTTAATGCATCTTATCTCTCTACATGTCAGTAATTGTATCACCAACGCTATCAATGATATAAAAGGGACGCGACTCAAAAGAGGCTCCTCCTGGATGGCCGAAGCAGAAAATATAATCCAGCAAGTATGTGCCCTAGACGAGATCAGTCACAGGAAAGAATGGACGGATACACCAGTAGACCTGCATGACTTGTCTAAGGTTGTCACAACACTGGGAAGGTACTGCAGGAATCAGATACCTGCCACTGTAGACGCCGAGGTTAGAGCACTGATTGATCAGCACTCACGCCCAGAAGATGTCGTCATTTACACAGATGGGTCCGTGAAGCGCGAGACAAGATCAGCATGGGCATACACAGCACAAAAGATGGGGAAAACAATAAAAGATGATAGCAGCGCTTACGTTTTTAAAGGGGTAGACAATAATAGGGAAGAGAAAAAGTTGGTTAGAAAGAACAAATAGTTCATGTTAGCTTTACAAAATCGATCACAATAAACAAAGGACGTTGCGGCGATTAGCCTTCGTCAGGACATAGAGGACAACAGAGAACACATACACAAATATGCTCTAACTATGAAGTGACTACATAGGACTCTTATGTACAAAATAAATGATACTCATTTGTGTCCCTGGCGAAAAATCTTCGTTCAAGACGATGACTAGGACAGCTACTAGCCTATGTATCACCAACGCTCTGATGGGGAGCGAAAAATGGGTATGTCTAGGAAATAGGCAGAGTAGACGCCAACAGGTACAACATCGTACACTGAGTGTCTAAAGAGGGAGAGAGGGGTTGGCCAATGAGGCGTAACCCGGGTTAGGTTGTGGTAATGACATTAGTCCATCCGCATGGAATAAAAGTGGTGCCTGTACTAGCAAACAATTACCAACAGACTGGCAGACAGGCATGCTGATCTATGGATAGACCGACAGATAGGTAGATAGATAGATAGATAGATAGATAGATAGATAGATAGATAGATAGATAGATAGATAGATAGATAGATAGATAGATAGATAGGTAGGTAGATAGATAGATAGATAGATAGATAGATAGATAGATAGATAGATAGATAGATAGATAGATAGATAGATAGATAGATAGATAGATAGATAGATAGATAGATAGATAGATAGATAGATAGATAGATGGATAGATGGATGGATGGATGGATGGATGGATAGACAGACAGGTAGATAGATAGATAGATAGATAGATAGATAGATAGATAGATAGATAGATAGATAGATAGATAGATAGATAGATAGATAGATAGATGGATGGATGGATAGATAGATCGTGGGTGGTGGGGTGAATGGATGAGTGGGTGGTGCAATCGATGGGCGGGTAGACAAATAGACGGAATGATGGATGGCTATACTCGTGGATGGATGGAAAGTATAATAGATGGATGGATCGGCCTATACGTCAAGCATGACCATGGAGATAACTGCTACTCCCAGAGCACTCGCGTGGGTAGCAGAACAAGCTGCCACACATGCGGTTATTGTTTCAGACTCTATGAATATGCTTAAGAAAATCGCTACAGGTAGTCTCCGCTCCGAATGGTTAGAAAGCATTTGGAAGTCGCAGTTAACCTCCATCATCTGGATCTATACACCTGGGCACGCAGGAGTAAATGGTAATGAAAGAGCTGACCAGCTGGCAAGTAATGCACCAATGCAATTGGGAGATAATATCGAATCTCTGACGCTAACACGATTTCGTGACCGAGAAGTTGAGCTTGGTGAAGCACGACTATGCCGTCTTAGAGGTAAAGACAGGAAATACCATAACCAGCTCCTCATGGGAACAATAAGTAGAGGTACCTTAAAGTGACTTCTGCATCGGAGCACTGAGCACGTATGGGGATGCCCAAGGTGCAAAGACGTAGATTGTGATAACATAACATAACATCATAGGGTAATTGTTGTAAATGCTGGCGTGGTGGGGGAATGAACAGGCAGACATATTGGCTGGATCTGCACTGCTAAGTGCTGAACTGATACATGACAAGGCAGATGTGGTCAGAGCCTTTGGGAACAAGTAACGAATTCACAAGAGAAACTAGATTATTATAGGCTTGAGAGAATGATGCACCTTGGTATGACCAAAGGGTTCGGCCGGCACACAACGCTTCATATATATATATATATATATATATATATATATATATATATATATATATATATATATATATATATATATACGTTTATAATTGTGTGCAGCAAACAACAACACATCGCAATGTCTAAAAACTATTCCTTTGTTATATTTCTTTAAAAAATACACGTTTTTATTTCTTGCAAGAAAATAACTTTCTACAAAGGACACATATACTGTAAACTCTATAGGCATCGGTGGTCTAGTGGTAGAATACTCGCCTGCCACGCGGGTGACCCGGGTTCGATTCCCGGTCGATGCAACTCATTTTTTCTAAAAATAATTTATGTGTATGGAGTTCTTCTCCAGTATGTTGCAATCCGGTGGATAGACAGGGAAGATGAAGGACTATACCAACTATAATCAAGTAGTATTTTTCCAAATTCATCGTAAGCTGAACTACTCCCACGTTAGGTTCGAGATGACCTGAGCTCCTGTTTGGTGTAGCAATGGGGCGTTCGATTATGTTAGATGGGGTTGTCGGGTACGGGTAGGGCCTTCATATTGGGGGTCACTGGATGTCATTACTGAGAGCATTTATGGACGATCTCTCTAAGGTTAGTTGCGTATCCTTTACAGGACGTTGCAGAACCAACTCCATCAGCCCCTGGCTGTTGTGTGGTTTCAAGAGGCAAATTTACGTCCAGTAGTTTGCCATTTGGACGATACGACTATAATAATAGGCTGTGAAGATGACAAACGCTTTATTCTGAAAAGGCTTGATTTCGTAGTCGAATGGTGCAACGCGTAATTCCAGCCGCAGAAGTCAAGGAGTCTTTTGATCCGTACAGGTAAAGTGGTGGCAACCAGATTCGCGGTAGCAAGCAAGTCGATCGTCAGTGCTCTGGGGGAACCATTGAAGAGTCGCAACCGCGTCTACAATTCGAAGCTATCAGATAGGAAGTCCGGCGTTTACACGAGCTCCTCTAAATAGGCCTGTTCGCTACTGAACAGATAAGGCTGATCAGCCGCGTCTACAATTCGAAGCTATCAGATAGGAAGTCCGGCGTTTACACGAGCTCCTCTAAATAGGCCTTTTCGCTACTGAACAGATAAGGCTGATCAGAAAGTTCAAGGTCAGGTGTCTCTAATTTATGTTTCCAAAGTTCCTCTGGCCGTTGCGAGGCTAGCACGAGTGCAGTGGAAGTAGTGGAACGGAAAATCAACATCGCCGTGAGAAAATGGCTCGGAGCGCTGCCTTGTCTGACTAACGTGGCAAGTCTCTCAAAATGTCTATCCTAATAGTGATATGTCTATCCAGGTTGTATGTGGACTAGCAACGTACTCAACCAACTCAACACACACATTAAAAATATATTGCATCGACCGAGAATCGAACCCGGGTCACCCGCGTGGCAGGCGAGTATTCTACCACTAGACCACCGATGCCTACAATTATTGCAGTACCTTTCTCTTGTAATGTATATTCTTTTCTTAATTGGGATGTTTTCTCGTTAGCTACACATAAACATCTTCTGTCGTATGCCACTGTAGCAGCTAAGATAGCGTTAAGAAAAGGTTTGATTCGTAATTTACTTTGGATTCTGTCTTTTTTTTAAAGGTGAAGGAAAAAGGGGGGGGGTCATGAATGATGTTCATGATTGACTAGAACTATTTACAGATGATGTGAATTCGTTGGAACGAAATGACTGCAGCTTGGTTCAGTGTAAACACGCAATGGCGACAACAACTTTCATGAAATTCCGTGATGTACTAACAATCAACATACTTTTTTCTCCTAACATCAACTGGTCTTGCTAGTCGCACTCGCCATTGTCATGGGCTGTGATTTCCACAACTCTCTATATTAAGACGAACTCTACAGAGGGAGCATGTACAGCAGGAGTCTACCGATCTTCAGTAGGTGTCCCCCAGTAGTTTCTCGGCTCATTTACTTCCCAGGGTCCTGACTTCCAGGCCTCAGACTTCTCCAGCTGCGCTTATCGGACAAGACGTTGTGGTGATTCCAACACGTACTGAAGTTATGGTGATAACGGGAAAGATGGGAGGGATGACTTCATTGTACCGGTTTTTTTCTCTACATATGGCTCAGTTTCTCTTTGCTGAACAGCTATGTGTCGGCCAAGAGCGTCGCACAGAGCACGGCCTATGTAACTCAGGCGACGATCCCCATTAATGTCCGTAAAAATTGCACTCGCGCCTCAGTGAAACGAAATCCCGACCTCCAGAGCGCGGGGCAAACGGCTTGACCACCGAAACAAATTTGGGCTCGTCCAGTATTTGAACCCGGGACTTCTTGCACCCAAAGCGAGATTCATACCCCCAGAAGGCCAAGACCAACGAGCCTTAAGAAGCATGTATACCTCTTGTGCGTGTAGAATCCAATTGCGTTAGAAAATGGCAGCTTGACAACGATGTAAACAACCGGACTTAAAACGAAGTGAAGTTTTAACGTTTTAATGAAGTGAAAGGGAAATTGCGTACAGTTTAACATGACTTCTGTAGCCCGGAATGGCACTTATGTTATCAATAAGTATGTTAAATTGTGTGTGCATTTATACATTTATATTATTCATCACAGTCTTTAGTTTGTAAAGTTATTTACTGTTCAGTTTGGTGAACATTTGTGGCTCTCCTCCGAACTTAGAACTTCGTCCCAATATTATGGCGACCAAACAAATACCCGAACAGGGCCTCAGTCGTGTGTAAGATGCGGACTTCCTCCGACGAATACATCGCAGCGCAACTAGGATTACTGTCCGTTGACAATTTCGAGAAACGCTGGGACTCACAAGCAGCAGCTACCGCATCTCCTGCAACTTCCTCCAGTTTATTTGCTCGTGAGTCCCAGCCATCTAATTTAGCACCAAATCCGCTCCGTGCGGTGCGGCATAGTAGCAGAAACATCTCTGCAATTAATATATCGCTGAGACCCTGAGTGTTAGAGTATTTATTTCCCCTGATAATATTGGCCCGTTATTCGGAGGCAATCCTAGTTATGCAGCAATTTGTTCCTTGGCAGGCACTTCGCATTTTACACATGACTGAGGCCCTGTTAGGGTATTTGGCCGCTATAATATGGGGACGAAGATTGGAGGAGAGCCACATTTGTTTATTTACTAAATAATTTAACATTTAACGCCTGTAATTTAAATTATTGTACTGTAAACTCCTGTGGAAAGCTCTATTTATTTGTCCAGTTCTGGACATTAGCCTTGTTCCAGGACTTACATTCTGCTTGCACGTCCGTTTTACAGATATGGCTTATTTGTACTATTGGTTCACTGCTCAGGCAGCTGTATCAGATGAAGGTATTGCTGCAGTGTACACGGTTGGATCAGTAATTCGGGGCAAACGAAGTGCATGACCAGTTACAGTGAGCAAAAGAGGGAAAACCATAAAGGAGATGAATGGCGCCTTTGATGCTACAGCTAGCAGCATTACAATGGAAATGGTTCTGCAACAAGGACACTAGAATGGCTGGGTACTCAAGAGTTCACACACACACATGCATACTTAGTGACTCAATGAATATGCTTACACAAACAAAAAGAATTCAGGCTGGATTCATTGGACAAGAATGACTTGAGTCACTAAGCACTTCACAAATGGCTGACCTATCCTTAATTTTTGTGCTGGCCTATCTGGGTGTTCGAGGCAACAAGCGTGCAGATTATGTTGCAGACACTGATTGATATGACTGGTCCTGTACTGGATAGAAGCAATGTTATCAATGCCATGCAAAGCTTGGGGGTGGCTGGGGGATGGGGTGGTGGTGGTGGGGGGGGGGGGGGGGGTGAAGGATAAGAGAAGTGTCTGCCAAGCACTAGTATTAACAGTTATAAGAGGAGAAATAAGCAGAGAATGTCCAAAAGGAAACCAGAAACAAACATTGATGAGAGAGGCCAAAGTTTCTGGACTGTATTTCATCGAGGATATTAAGGGGATTCACAAGTTTGAACGGAATGGAATGATAGACTATGAACCCCATGTAATATTTAATAGCAGAAGAGTCTAGTGAATGAATGACTGAATTAACTAATGTGCAATGAGATATTGTGATGGCAACAACTGTTTACCTCAACTACTATAGCCTTTCGATAAGCTTTTCACAATTATCCTAATGCACAATATTTGCACACTGTAATATAAATCCTGAATAACACATTCCTAAGTCCCTATTACAAATCTGCACACCCGTTTTTGTGAATGCTCTTCTAAGACTTAAATGTCTAGGACACAACTGGAGGATGGATGACAAACAAATCAAATTCTTTAGGGTAATTACAAATGGGTACAAAACAAGCACTGAAATGGGAAACAAATGGTCTGAGAGAAAAAAAAAGGATATCCAAGGAAAACATTGAGAAGAACTCTATTACCGGAGGGAAAAAATTCAGGTTTACACTCCATTTCAGAAATTGAGAAAGCTGCATGCATTAGAGCAGAGTGGATGAATCAATTGTGAACCCTATGTGACCTCTAACGGCACATAAATGATGATTATTGCAAATGGACAGAAGACATGGAGGTTGGTTGTTACTGTTATATGGATGTGTGCAAGTGAGACACAAATTATATAGGCATTGAGGCATATTCATGAGGACATAATGCCAGAGACTGCGTTGCATGGAGGGGGAAGATCACGAAGGAAATAGGAATAAGGGAGAAATGATTCCAGAAGGTTTAGAGCTGAGCATTTGAGATGAAGCAAGTTAAATACATACCATGGCAACAGCGGTCCTGAAACTCCATGCTCTAATTGTTGAAGACTTTTCTTAACAAGAGTCGGCCTGGTCGTCTTCTACTTCTTCACATTCACCAGGTTTAAACTCCAACGGAAAATCCTGGTTGTTCGTCCACCTCCAAATTTTATTTATGCTCTAAAATCTTAGTGTTGCTTGCACATCTGTTTTACAGAACCGGCTTATTTGTATGCAGACTGCTGGTTCATTGCCTCTTAAGCAGATGCATTCTGACCCCAATTAGTCGACTTTAGTGGCATGCTTGTTGGTGAGGCATTGGGTCTATTCTTGTTTTCCCCACAATGGGGCCCCAGAACCCACACTAGGAGGCCCTAATAGTCACACTGACCATCAACGTGGGCTGTGATTCCTTGCCTCTCGGTAACAAAATATAACATTTTTATTTGCAAAGTTTGAAAGATGTTAATGACTTTATAAATCTGGCAACACAGTTTGATCTTGACTACTGCAACAGTGGGCATATGAACAAAGCATTGAACCAAGACTTCTTTTGTTTGCTATTCTAAAACAGGAACTCATTACAAAGCAGAGGTTGTGCATTCAACTGGCCTCAAGAACTATGAGTACTTATTATCTAGACAGAGCAAATTTGGTCTGTCCTGAGCGTTGTGAAGCTGGTATTGAATGACAGTTTCTTTCAGTGTTATTTTGTATGAATCATTCACAAAGATTTTTGATGCCTGAATGTCAGATCAGTGGAGGTGGGACTCTTCCACCTTTAGCATATGGTGTCCAGAATGTAATGGAAGTTGATTTCTGTAAATTTTGGTCAAATTTCACCACTTCGGATAATCATTAATGTTGGTGTTGAGTAATAATTATTATACCAAAATAATTTTTTTGCATTTGTGTGTGTGTGTATTATTCTGCCAAAAGCACAAAGAGATCAAATAATGAAACATCCCTATGTGGGTTCCAGGGCTCCATTGTTATGATTAAAAAGAAAGACATACTGCCTAACCACCAAAAGCATGCTGTAAGAGGTAACTAATTGAAAGCTTTCTCAAAGTCAGAGTGCATCTGTCTGAGAGGCAAGGAACCAACGGTCTGCATACAGATGAATCGGATCTGCAAAATGGATTTGCACACAATACTTAGGTTCTGGAACAGGACTAGAGTCCAGAAGTGGACAACCAACCGGAACTTTCTACCAGAGTTTACAGCTGGTGAACACAAAGAAAAATAAGAAGATAATGTAACAAATCTTATTTTACTGCTTCGAGTTTCGAGAGAAATGTAAAGTTGCGCTAATGTAACAAATACTTTATTTAAAGATAGTTAAACTCATAAAAAAAAAAAATAATATATCGTTCTCTAATCCAGCAGAGCAGCGCCACCTGTTGATGGTCTTACAGGAATTAACCGACAAAATATCATGCGCCTGAAAATCAACAGAGTTGCTCTTGTTCAGGAACTCAAAGTGGAGCATGTCAGTGGAATGTTGATAAAAAATGGAGCCATTGATGTAGAGGATATGAACAAAATAAACAGTGGCACCTCTCCACAAGTATGCCGTTTATAAGTGAATTTTGTTAATAGCTTTCTGCAGTCTCATAGACCTTTGTGTGCATCAGAAGCTGCCAGGATGGCCTTCTTCTTATTCTTTGCATTCTGGTTGTTCATCCACTTCTGGTCTCTAGTCCCTGTTCCAGAAACTGAGTTGTGGTTTATTTGTATGCAGACTCTTATGACACATTTTTTAGGGAGACAGTCGTCCCCCACCCCCCCCCCCCCCCCCCCCCCCACCACACACATAAACACACAGACAGGGACCCAAGATGGTCTTGTATCCAAAGATTTTTAGTAGCCCATATAGATTTAGCTAGGTTTCACTGGCCCATGTAGGTTTAGCAAGGTGTCAATGGCTAAATTTATACAAGATTTTTTTGGCTTTTAAAGATTTAGCCAGGTTTTCAATGGCCCATTTAGGTTTACCAAAGTTACAGTGGCCCATTTTCAGTGGCCCATATATCTGATGATATGTAAAAGTGTAGTCGTGTATAATCTGTCTCCTCATCATCATCATCATGTACCATACCGATAAGCTTAAGCTGTCCTGTTTTGCAATCTTACACAATCAACAGAATCACAGACCAGGTCTGTCTTCTTGTCTCGCCCCATCCGTATGGCTATTCATCTGTATATTTATCCCTTTGTAATCCTTCTGGCTCTTTGTTCATCATCATTCATACCAGTCATTACCATTGTTCCTTTTTGAGATAATCTTCATCGCACATCGGACATGACCTAAATTGCTCCGATCTCCTCCTGAGTATATCTCCAAGTGTGTTTAGGCTAACAACTCCTATTCTTTCTGGCTGATGTAGTGTTGGGTGGCTCCCACATGGTTTTCCTGCCTCGCAGTCCCATTACCAAGTTCACATGTCCTTTCCTTCTCACACCAAGTCTGAAAAAAGTTGACTGTCTAAGTTTAATTTCTCTAACCAGTTTACAGTTTTCATCTGTCTTGAGGACAACTGCTTTGTTACAGTATCCACGAAGAATTACTTCTGCTTGCCTATTTCCTATTTCCCTTCATCTGTACTTTAGAAATTCTCAACAAGTATAAATATAAATCTCTCAGTATATCTAAGTCGAGACAGTTTTTCAGCAATTCCCGAAATAGGAAAATGACTGGGTAATGACTGGCATGAAAAATAATGGACAAAGAGCAAAAAGGATAACAAGGGAATCTTGTGCATGCTGTGAAGATGGGGACGGAGCACTTATGGGGATGTCCCGAGTGCTGTGATGTTGATTCTTAATTCAACATTCACTGACTTGTTAACACTACCCTCCCCACCCGGTCAATGTCTTGTTAAAACTAAGATCACTGTCTTGGTGAGCAAGCACACTTACCACTATGCCACTACAGTTAATAAATAACAATGAGTTCATTTATAAAGTCAGTCTGCCCTGTCTTATTTCAGGATAAGACTAGGATACTACTGTTTGTTTGTATTGTCAATCTGTCTCACTTTATTCCAGGATAAGACTGTGATACTACTGGTTGTTTGTATCACCAGTCTGTCTCACTTCATTCCAGGATAAGACTAGAATACTACTGGTTGTATAGTCTGTCTCACTTTATTCCAGGATAAGACTCGGATACTGTTGGTTGTTTGTATAGTCAATCTGTCTCACGTTATTGCAGGAAAAGACTCGGATACTGCTGGATCTGCTGCCAACAAAAGGGAACACAGCTTGGTACAGACACTTCAGAGAAGCTCTACAGAACCCCGATGCTGATCCTGAAACTCGCAGAAGATACAGAGTTCTAGTTAACTTTCTGGACAATGCAGTAATTGTTGTAATTTATTGCTTTTAGCTTGTTATAAATTGTAAAACTTTAAAAAAAAAATATAAATTAGATTTTAGTCTTTGGATTAGATAGTTCAATTCTGTTCATCATTATCATCATCATATTAATGACATCCTCATCACTGTCAGCATTTAAAAAAGGAGTGATAGGAGGACACATTAAATCAACATAAAAATTCAAGAATGGTAGCTATAGCTTTCAATTTTTACATCTGCTCACAATTTGCTAGTAAATTGTGAATCACACCACTGAGTCTAATTGCGTTTAATTATTGACAAGTATAATATAAGTATTGTTTTAATTTTTTTTTTCTTTAATGTCTACCATCTGTAACAAGAAAAAAAAAAAAAAAAACAGGTAAGCTATGCCATGCCATTGCTACATCAAGCAAATGGTAAAGTACCGCTTTCCACACATTCAGGTTTATGGGGCATATAGTTCTAGATCTATATTTTAAAAACCAGTCGACACTCAGTGGGTGATGTCGTCACCATGGTGCTGGCCATCTTTATTTCCCAGATTTTACCTGGTAGCCATTTAAGGCCAGGTCAATCTGGGACCTAAAGTCATTGAAAAAAAAAAGGAAAAAGTATGATTCCCTTTGGATTGAAACTCACAACCTTTGCATCCACAGACGAGCATTTAGCCCTACACCAAGGCCACTTCTCCAGATAGAAGATGCTAGACTAAAATCTTTATGGTTAATTATGCCGACCCCTTTAACCTCCATGACATTTGTGTTGCCAATGTAAGGTCAGGTCTGCTTAAGAACCTAGATCAATTATACACAGCCACCTTGATGCAGATGCAAACCCAGGATCTTTGGGTTTTCAGGCAATCACCTTGCCACCACAGGAGCCCTCGGTCAGCTGTCAGGCAGTCATCTCACCACTGCCGTGGATCTCTGTCAACTGTCAGTCAGTCATCTTGCCACTGCCATGGCTCTCTGTCAATTGTTTTAATATGCTTAGTGTTTTAGTAGCAGTAATTTAAAACAAGCTATCTGGGTTATAACTGGGATATGTAGAGATTTTCTTGTTTCAATACTAGGTTTTTATGTTTGACAATTATTTTTGGTTATTTAATATTGAGTAGATTATATATTGTCTGTACTGTAAGTATACATTTTTTTATTCTATATTCTCAGTGTGTTGTACAGCTTAGAATGGAATTAAAAATCAGACATTGGTCAGTTACTCAATTATAATACATATAAGTAATATGCCACAGGTGATTCACCGGCCACTGTCTCAGATGACCAGATTTAGGGACAGGTACGGTTCAAGGAAACAAGTGCAGAAAGCCGATGAGCGAAATAGTGTAGCTAGCCTTCCATATTACTTGCCACTGCCAGACATTCAACAACAATGCGGCCAAAACAAGAAAGAAGAAGTGTGAGTAATTTTCAAATTGTTGCAAAGTTAAAACATTTGTTGCAATTACAGGAGTGAGTGGAATAAAAATATATACCGAAGAAATGCTTAAAAATGACCATACTTTATTAATATATTTATGCAACTGATTTTTTTAAGGAACCAGCAGTGATTTTATTTTGAACACACACAAAAATGTTTCAGAAAATGTATTCCTAATTAGGAAAACTGTCAGGCAGAACAACAACAAACAATGCCTATTAAGTGGTTGGCCATCTCAAATTCATGGTAAACACCATTTTAAAATTCATAGAGAAACAAAGACCTTAATGGTTCTGCCACATAATGAGAATGAAGCCATAAATGTCAACAGCAAGAGCATACACCAAGAAAATGGAAACACCAGGAGACAGAGGGAGACCTCAAAGAAGATACTTGTTACTTGTTGTGTGTATCGACATCATAGTACATAGGTCTGACCCATTCCTGCTGCGTCCTCTGATGAAGCAGTCCTTCCAGTGTCTCCATGCTCAACTCATCCATTAGTAGTTGACTGGCTTATCTCCTTTCTCTACTCTAACCAGTTTCTACACGCTTGTCCTTGTTTGATACCCATTTCCAACAGGTGGTTCATTGTCTCTGACTCCTTTATCTCAAAGTTTCTAGAATGCAGCTCATTCATCATGTCTGTCATGTCCATACTTCTCACTCCATTATCCACTGCAGACACGCCAGTTTGTCGGCTCTTTTATTTCCTTTAACCCCAACACCCCCTTTCCTGTCACGGTGTGTACAACCAAGAGGCATGATTTCTGTACAAAGTCAACGCATTCTACTGGATGTTCTTAAGCATGCTTATTGAGTCTGTCACTATCAGTGTGATAGCTGCTTTCTCTTCCACCAGCCATGCAAGTGCACGTGTGATAGCTGCTTTCTCTTCCACCAGCCATGCAAGTGCACATGTGATAGCTGCTTTCTCTTCCACCAGCCATGCAAGTGCACATGTGATAGCTGCTTTCTCTTCCACCAGCCATGCAAGTGCACATGTGATAGCTGCTTTCTCTTCCACCAGCCATGCAAGTGCACATGTGATAGTGCTTTCTCTTCCATAGCTGCAAGTGCACATGTTAGCTGCTCTTCCACCAGCCATGCAAGTGCACATGTGATAGCTGCTTTCTCTTCCACCAGCCATGCAAGTGCACATGTGATAGCTGCTTTCTCTTCCACCAGCCATGCAAGTGCACATGTGATAGCTGCTTTCTCTTCCACCAGCCATGCAAGTGCACGTGTGATAGCTGCTTTCTCTTCCACCAGCCATGCAAGTTCACATGTGATAGCTGCTTTCTCTTCCACCAGCCATGCAAGTGCACGTGTGATAGCTGCTTTCTCCATTATCATAAGGTTGAACTTGAAACCTGACTTTCTTCTTTTTCTGTCCTTCCTTTTACCTGCGCTGTGTATGCCCACCCAGACTGCACCCCACAAAACACTGAGCCATCAGTATAGATTATGACTTCACCTGGATGTGCTTGTTGATGAGGGCCCTTCTCAGAGTGGAGGTAGGTGATATCTGCAGGGGTGAACCTGAAGGGTTCAGAATGCTCAAGAAGTAGAGGATCAAGATATGTTTTATTAACTCTCAAAGGTTGACTTATTTCAGGGCAGACAATGTGGACATTTTCAGTAAAAAGGTCACAGACAAGGAGGCTGGTCACCCAAAGATCCATTCTACCAACCACCGTGACATGACACTTGTGCAAGGCCAGTTCTTCCAGTGGTTTCCTACTCCTGACAACTTTAGGTAAACTCTTCTGTTAGTTCAATGTTACTTCCATACATCATGTAGAAGCAGTATCTGGAAGATATCCAACACTGAGGAAAAAACATAGATGGACTTTTAATCAGGCTGCAACTGGTACTATTAGCAAATCAACTCTTCATTAGCTACTAAAGAAGGGGACAGAGCACTTGTAGGAATGTCCCAAGTGCGGTGATGTCAGTTCTTGGTAGATTCATTCATTCATGTAAAAGCAAAGTTTTTTTTGTAATGTAATGTTAGTTTCAGCTTCATAGCAAACGGGTCACCAAATAGTCACTCCAGTGCCAATGAAAAACATAGAATGTTTTTCACAATCCCTTGTGGAGAGATTGACAAACTGCTGTCTCAGCATATGCACTAACCTACACACGCATTGAAAGCATACGGTAGCCATCAGAAGTGCTAACACAAACAGTCCGACATTAGAAATGCAGTTCATCATCGACAGTAGCAGAGGTAACCAACAAATCAGCTGTTGCACACGCGATACATTTTAATCACATAAGGGCACCACCAATATTGTGACGACAGGCCATGCGCCATTTCTTGAATCTACAATTTACAACACTACGTTGGTCACAATTGAAAAACATACCAAATGAAATCCGCAGCTCACAGGGTTGCACCATGCACAGTAGCTGGGCGACGAAACTATATCATTTCAATCTAAAAATGGAGCAAAAATGCAATGGCCACCGTCTGACAGAAGCAAAAACTTTGCCACGACTCGAAGCAGTGGCCATTCCTAGCGTCCATTTTGACTAGAAAACCCGGAATTTGTTTTTTAAAGTGAGCTGAGTTGAGTTCTTAGTGTTCACCAGTTGTAAACTCAATGGGCAGTTCTGGTTGTTCATCCACTTCTGGATTTTAGTCTTATTTCAGAACCTGCATGCACATCCATTTTACAGATCTGGCTTATGTGTATGCAGACTGTTGGTTCCTTGCCTCTCAGGTAGATGCAGTCTGACTTTTAAGGAAGCATCCCTTATTAGTCGACTCTTACGGCATGCTTGTTAGAGGATAGTGGATCTTTTCTTGTTTGCCCCACACCTGGGCTCCTAAACCCTCACAGGGACTGAGCTGAGTTGAGGGATGATTTCACAGCACATGGGACGTTAGCATAAGTGTTCCATCCCCATCTTCAGCAGCTAGTGGCTAGAATATAATTCCGATGGTACCAGTAGCAGTCTGATTGTGTGTCCCTCGTGTGTTTTTTTTTTTGTTTTGTTTCTTAGTGATTAAATATTGCTTCTGTATATCACAGTTGTAAGTCAAACTGGTCATGAGTCTATTTATATTTTTTAACATTATTTTAATTCAGACTGGTTATAAAAATTGTACATAAAAGCAAAATTTCAATCTATGTACATGTAATTGTTGTAAATCCTGTATTCTAGGGATCGGTTCCAGGAACTTTTGTATCCTCCCGTGTAGTTATCTTCATTTATTTACTAATTTATTGTTAATATGGTTCTAAGCCATATCATGGACGTAAGTCTCATATGCTGTAAGTCGAGAAGGCGTTGAGCTGGGAAAGTTGGCTGGGGATTGAGTTCCGAGCTCTGGCGTTCCATGATAACACAATATTCTATCATCAGGACCTGCTACAAGGCACGTTATTTAAGTAAGTCCGGTATAAAATTAGAAAAAACCATCATATATAAAAATGATTTATTGCAGCCAAAAGTGAACTGCACATTAACATTATTTCTCAACATAGTCACCACTGACTTCAACACATTTTTTTGTATATTGAGATCTCGTTGTTAATTCCAGTGTCATAGACGTCTGCCAGTGTCATGGATGTCTGCCAGTGTCATAGACGTCTGCCAGTGTCATAGACGTCTGCCAGTGTCTTGAACCATTCATTTACTCCTGTCTGCACTTTGAAACTGCTGGGATACTAGCCACTTCTTTAGGTGCATGAAAAGGTGGTGATCACTTGGTGCCAGATTGAGGCTGTTGGGTGGTGATCACTTGGTGCCAGATTGAGGCTGTTGGGTGGTGATCACTTGGCGCCAGATTGAGGCTGTTGGGTGATGATCACTTGGTGCCAGATTTAGGCTGTTGGGTGGTGATCACTTGGTGCCAGATTGAGGCTGTTGGGTGGTGATCACTTGGTGCCAGATTGTGGCTGTAGGGCTAGTGTCAAAATGTTCTAAGTAAATTTCTGCAACATTTAAACAGTTCCATCTGTGATGTGAGGTTGAGCATTATCGTGAAAAAGCACAATTCCAGAGGACAGCAACCCACCTCTTTTATTTTGGATGGCACACTTTTTTTTTTTATCCAAGGTTTCTTGTCACAATGTCATAAATCAGTGAACGTGAAACTTCCGAAAATTCAAGAGACAATGCAGAAACTGTAAAGCGACAACTTTCCCTAATATTTTGGTTCACTTCTTTGACAAAATTGTCTCTCACCACATTCGGTGGACCGCCACAATCTTCATCATAGATATTTACTCACCCTTCTTTAAACATTCGACAACACTATCTCCTAACCATATTGTCAGTCATAACATGTGGCCCAAAAACCTCAATGAGTTGCCTGTACATTTGTGCAGCAGTGTTGCTTTTGCTACAAAAAATCACAGCAAGAACCTCGCGACTGGCGGGAGTATTTGTTTTTGCACTCATTATAGTCACTCACATGCAGTATAAGACAAAAGGACCTAGGACCCACAAAGGGAACATCTGTTGTTTGACACACACAGACAATAACTTATCATACACATTGTGTTATATGGCACAGAAATTCCTTTGCCTTTTCAACAACAATTTGTCATTTTCCCACACACAAGGTCATTACTAGAGATTCCCGAGGGTCACAAGCAGAGACTGGCAAGCTCAGACAACTCTGATGACCAAGTACTCCTGGACAAGGAAACAATGGTTTTAAATATTCTGAAAAGGGTTGAGGTGACTGCTGCCTTAGTTCGGCATAAATGTCTGCCACCTGGATTTGAACTGTGTTTGTCTGATGCGGTACAGGTAAATTTTATTATGGGTAGTCTATGTTTTTGTGTGTTTTTTTAATCAATTAGTGTTGTCCAACATACACACACACAAAAAAGGTTCTTTAGATGCCAGATGCACATCGGGGAAATAAGCCAGACAAATTTGTCTAGACCAGTCATCATTATATGATGAGTTCAACATCACACCAGCTGCCTTTACTTCCCAGAACTTTATCTGCTGCCCATTTAAGGCTGGGTCAACCTGGGAGCCAAGTTCATTTATGAAAATAATATAATTTCATGCAGATTTGAACCCTCCACCTTGGGATCCACAGGCGAGTGTCTAGCCGCTACATAAAAGTGGCTGCCGCCAACAAATGTAGGCAAGAGACAATTATTGTTGTCTTTGGAGACAAACTCTATGAAGATGTCAGCAAGCTGAGACTGACTGCTGCTTTCTTTAAGTATGTTTAAGTTGATTTCAGAAAATGTACAAAGAAGAAAAATCAATGAGCTGTTAAACTAATTACTTAATTAATCAGTTGACTAATAAATGAATCAAGTACACTCACTTTGAAGTCTGGGTACAAATGAATTCAAAAATTGTCTGCCTCACTTTGGTTTTACTTTTGATGAGTTTATTTGTCCATATTATAGAGCTTTCAGTCTTAGAAAGCATACTGGCAGCCGACAGGACAGTGATAATAAGATCACAATCAAAAGTGTACTACTTTTACAGGAGCCAAATACAAACTCCTTTTAATTAAATGAGTCGAGAATTGTCATCACTGCACTTGAGACATTCCCATACATGCTCCCTCTCCTTCCTCAGAAGTCAACAAAGAGTTGACAAGTAAATAGTACCAGTTGCAATTTGATTAAATGTCTGCCTTTGTTTTTCCCTTTGTGTTGAATATCAGTCAGAATCTTTGCTCTCCCCCTGTTGAATTAGTCTTTCAGTGTATGGATTCTCCTTTGGATTGCACTGTCCTCTTGATCCCAGAGAGCTGTCACCAGGTCCACTTTATCATAAAGTAGCTCATCTCCCAGAGGATTGACAGCAGCCAACCTGTCAGCTTGCTGATTACCTCGCACACCTGAACATCCTGGACAGAAAATCCATAATGTGCTACTGATCTAAATCTTTTCAAATGATGAAAACCCCTCTTTGCATAGGACACCAGTTTAAATTTCCAAAGCATGCTTTGTGAGTCCATTACAGTTACAACATGTTTTCAAGCAGTGTCAGCTCACATTTTGCACTAAATCTTCAGCCACTTTTCTTACCTCTCACTACAGACCCATCATGATTATATTTATGTCATCTTGGCGTGAGTTTTCATTGACCCACTGTTGCACTGCTGTCTGTCTCACAAGATATCCATTCCTAGCACCCTCGGTCCAAATCAACTATAATTCTGTGCAAGGCTGTTTTGCTGGGTGACACTGTGATCCATTCCTCACCTTGTGCTATTATGTTAGTAGTGCAAACATTTCTTATAGTGACTTGTGCTTGTGCCACCCAAGAGTTACCCCTTTAAACAAAATGGGTACACCTCATGATTCTTACCCCATCTCGTTTGCCTGCATGATTTCATATTTGTTCACACGGGCTGTTCTGTGTTTGAGGGATTCAGTTGTTGCTTGTTTTGAATGTTTTAAGCCCATCCACCAACGACGACAGCTAGTGTAAAAATGCAAAAACATCAGTGAATCAGTGCTCTTAAGCTGTCGTGCCTTGTCTCTTTCTTTTGCGACTTTTTCCTTGTACACAGGCGTCTGTGGGACCACAGCTACTCTCAACAGCAACACATTCCACAAACAATAATCGTTCACAGAAAAGACAGTTGCGACAGGAAAGCTGGCCAGTTTAGTCTGGTTCACAATGTGTCAACCCCATCAAATGAACTCGTGAAAGTTTTCGACACAGTGAATAGATGTTGAAGGCAGGCATCTGGTAAAAAAAACCTAGAACATAGTTAAAAATCTGTCTATCTATCTTCTTTTACCCCACCAGGACATCACACAAGGGATAAACACCCGATGACACAAAGTGCCACCATGTGGATGAGGATCACCCGTGGAGAGGTCCCAGAAACCACGTTCTGTGGCTAAATTGTGGCCCCTGGCAAGAGCCAGAGTAGGGCTTTCAAATAATGAAAAATTGCATCCTTTTTTTTTCTGTCATCTGTATGCTCTTTATTGATTAACATTTTTTGTTAAGCATAGTTGGCAGTTGAATTCAGAAAAAGAAAAAAAGTTTGGTGGAAACGTTTGGTTGCGTGTATTAAAATAAAACTATGTACACATACTGCGAAATTCACCTTTTTTAAAAATCCTGTGCCACCAGTGACATCAATCGCTTTCTACTTGACCCAGTTATGATATTAATTTTAAAAAGAGAAAAATTGCATCCCACAAAGGGATAACAAAATGTGTGTAAAATCTGTCATAATGGGGATTTAAACATATGACTACTGAACTGATAGATAGGCATGCACACAAATTATTTATATACAGTTTGTAAATGACACTCTGATACTTTTTTTTTTCTGTGTGCCTGACCCAGGATCTTTTGAAACAGCCAGAGCTGTACCATTTGTATCTTAAGCATATTCTGATCCTCGAAGCTGCTGATGTGATGATAGTGGAAGAGATCAGTTCTTCATACAATGATGTCCTGCAAACTGTGAATAACTCTAATGTACCAGAAATGGTAAACCAAGTGAGTTATTTCCCTTTTAGAATTATAAAAGTCATAGGCACTTATCATTGGCACTGAAGAAATGACTGAATGAATCAAGAATTGACATCACTGCACTCAGGACTGCACTCCCACATGTTCTCCATTCCCTTCTTCAGTAGCCAGTGAAGAGTCATAATGCTAATAGTACCAGCTACAACCTGATTAAAAGTCTGCCTATATTTCCCCCTCAATGTTGAATACCTTTTCAGAACTTCTACTCACTCCACGTTGAATTAGTCTTTCAGTGTATAGACTCTCTATCTGCTTTGTTGCACTAACCTTCACCATGTCCACTTTATTATAAAGTAGCTGATTACACAGAGGAGCACCAGCAGCCAATCTATCAATGTGCTCATTACCTAACACACCTGAATATCCTGGACAGAAAATCCATGTGCTCCTGATTTGAGTCTTGTCAAGTGATGCAAGCCATTTTACAAGCAGAACGCCACTTGGCATTGTGTCACCTAAATGCTAAATTCTTGTTATGAGAAAATCAGGTTTTAACACTGAGATCACATGAAAATCTGTAATTGCCTGTAAAGTAATACTCCATTTTGACCTATTTAGAAAAGGAATTCACATGTGTACCTTTGGCATATTGTAAAGGGACAAATAAAAGACTTGAAAATGCACTTAAATGACACTGTCAGATTTGCACTTAGCTGACTTTGCCATAGTGCCAGCAGTATAAGAGCTTCAAGTACACTTGTAGAAATTACATATAATTCCAGAACTGCCTTCATATCATTAGTTTTGGGTTTACACTTGTGTGTATGTTCGCGAGCAGATGAGCATGTATGCAAGTGGGGAATTGTTTTGCTTTGTTTTGTAATACCTTAAGTGGGTGTGATGGATATACTTGTCCCAGCCAATTGCTCTCTCAGTAATATGATAGAGAAATTAATCTTTGACTTTCTCCTGATCATAGCTAGTGGGTATAATGAGTTTGCAGCATTGTGTTTTTTAGAGTTTAATCCACTTGGCAGAGCTCTTCAGTAATTAAAAATGAGTAAATGTTCATCACTTAACAGATTAATAATTGGATGGACAGATTCTTGCACTGTTGTGTTTGTTATTGTAAGACCTTAATCCACTTCCGTCGTGTGCTGATTGGTCGATTATATGTCTAGCCCTGTATGCCCTATACACCTAAAGGTGTTGAAAAGGGTCCTTTACTTACTTACTTTACTTAATCCACTTGGCAGCATTTTTCTTTAGTGTTTTAAATTGAAAAAATTAATTGATAAATGGGTGGGTGTAAATGTTTATCACTTCACACAATAATAATTGGAGGGCTAGATATATAAACTTATGGTTGTAAGAATGGATAGATGAGATGGTGAGTAGATTTGTTAGTGGAAGGAAGGAAGCAAAGCCAGAAATGATAGAGCCAGAAAACAAGTTCAATAAAAAAAAAAAATGAAATAACCTAATGTGACAAAATGTCTGATTCTCAGGTTACACAGACAGGACTCAAGATGGCCAGTTTGCTGATAGCAGTCAATAAGTTCTCAAAAGCTGCCAGTGTGCTCAACAGTTTAATACAGTTTCTCAGGCAAAGGCCAAACATGGAAGTCTGGGTTCCTCAGTTCCAGGCATATATCAAACTCATGCATGCCTGGAACTTAGCCTGTCGACCGGATAGAGCAGAGGTGGCCTACTTTGAGGCGGTCCAGATGCAGTATCAGATTACTATGATGTCCTTTGGTCAAAGCGTGGTGCACTATGGTGCTATGCATGCAGAAACCAGCCATATGTTGTTAGAGCATGGCTCCATTAGTTCAGCTTATGGATGGTCCAGGAAAGCTCTCAGGGTAACCTGTTTGTGGCCTACATGTTTTAGTGAAACTTAGACAACTCGTTCTAAATGCCCCTCCCCCCCTCCCCCAACCTCCCCCTTTACAAAATTATTGGAAGGAGGGGGAAGCCTTAGCTTCCCAAAAAAAATTAGGCATGGGAGTCTATGGCTGAGACCAGCAAGGAAATCAAAGTTAAAATTTTAAGAGCATGCATCTTTCCTATAGCAACATATGGATCTACATCATGGACTATCTTCCAGTCCTTTAGAAAGAAAATAGGGGCTTCCAAGCTGAAATGCTATAGAAACATTCTCTAAAAACTATGGGCAAAGGAGAGAAGAAAAACTGACATTCTAATAGATCTGAACATCAAGGAAGATTGGCTAACAAACAGCATCTTGTCTCAGAAGCTGAAATATGTTGTCTTTATCAAGCGGCATGGAAGACTGGAAAGAAAGAATAGCAGAAGGCATTTGGAGGGGTATGGAGGATCAGCACGAAGTTGGGGACAGGACATAAGTGACTCCTTGGATATATAAGTGCATGAGGTGGGAGAGCTGGTAAGAGACTAAGTTTCTTTCAGGTAGACCCTGATTAGAGAGAGCAACATTCTGCAAAGGACCTACCAAATGATTATGAGCCATCAGAGATGCTAACACAAACAAGCCAGCACCAGAACTGCAGTTCGTTGCTGTGTTAGCAGCGCTTGTAACAAATCAGGAGCTGCACACACAATTAATCATAAGGTTCTGTGGCAATAAACCCCTCACTGTTTTATGAGTCTGCAGCTGGACAAACGATGAAGAAAAAGAATCAGCAGTTCATAGCACAACCATGCTGGGCACAGTTAAAAAGCATTCTAAATGAAATCCAAAGCTCACAGTGTTGTGCCATGCACTCAGCTCAGTAAAAAGGCCACAGCTATCTACACTTCCACATATGGGGGAAAATACAATGGTTAACCATATTTGCGAATAACTTTAAAAAAAAACCAGAAACAGTAAACCAGTTAACCTGGCATACTGGACTGTAAGTCACAATGGTCAGAACATCCAAAGTGAAGTGAGGCAGGCAGATAAACTCACAAACCATGTTCAAACTGGACATACACAATCCGATTTTAATGCATTGCAAAAGCTGGAACTGAAAGAGTTCATTGTTTCTCACTTAGGAAGTCAACCCAGAAGATTCAGCCTCAGTTTTGAGGGTTCTGTGTGTGACCATCAATGCTTGTTGTGCCAACTGGCTTGTCAGGAAAGCAGAACTCTTGTCTGTCTATGCTGTACAGTATGCCAGGTATTCTATGTCATAATATCATAGACACTGTAATATGATTTGAGTAAGTGAGTGATATTTAACCTCACCAGGACAGTACAATGAGCGATTAAGACCCAGTGACACAAAGTACCACAATTAGGATGAGAACCCCAGATGCAAGTCCCAAAAACCCTGTTCAACTGAAAAAGTTATATTGGAGCCCCTGACGGGGGTTACGAAGTCGCCTGGTCCAGTCAGGCTGGGTCTTTAATGTAAACACACTTGTGTCCCCTTTCGGCACAGGTGTAAAATATGATTTGTTATCATAAGTATTTTATTTTTTGTGAGTGAACTGTTTAAAATCTACACATAAATATAGTCTGTCAAAATAACGTATACACTTTTCAGACAAAATTGGCAGAGAATACTAGTATTATGTTTGTAAGAGAAAATGCACAATGAAAACTGAATGTTGTTACAGGCAGACCAGGTTCTTAGCCATGGCCAACAGCTGGTCTAGGAGGAAGCTCTGACAGACAGAAAGACAGAGCAATGATCATCTGATTTACGAGCTTCTGCAGCATTCTTTGTTCTAGACATATTAGTTTTATCTTTCGCTTGGAGTAAAAAAAAGGCTGGCTGAGAGACAGATTATGCCTGTCTCCACCTTCTCAACATGCTCTGTGAGTCAGTTACAATCACGTTATGTGTGTACAGCTATTTATTTGTTCCAGGAATTCACAAACGATTTGCATATGTAATTTATTGTGTAGTTATTGTACATATTTCTGAGCCACACAGTAAGCCATCTTTGTTTCTACAGGAGTAAGTTTGGAGAGAGACACCCACTGTACATTGAGGCTCTGCTTCATTTTTGTCACTTCAGCAATGAGTTTAAGTGGGATTCAATTGGTCTACATGTAGCCAGGGTAAGTGGGATTCAGTTTGTCTACAGGTACCAGGGTAAGTGAGATTTAGTTGGTCTATGTAGGACAGCAGTGAGTGGGATTCAGTTGTTTGTCTGCAAATGGATCTAGAGGACACAACCTCGATAAAAAAGAAAAAAGAAAAAACCAAGCCTACGGTAGACCTACGTACCTATGGGCTGAATGACTGTAGGATATACAGTCGTGAACGTCTGGTTAGCGGGTGGGGCAGCGCCAGACGTATGGACTCCGTCAGGACATCCCCTGCCTCTTCCCTTGCAAGCAGTCAGTCCTAGGGTGACCGTTTACTTCTTGCACTGAAAGATTATTTTCTATGGATTTTGTATTAAACAATAAAAAGAATTATCACCGGAGCTTCGGAGTGCATGCTCTGTGCTTGATACCATCTTCAGGTGTCAGTGGAGGTGATAAGGAGGAGGAGAAGATGAGGAAGTAGAGAGGGGAGAAGGCATAGAAATAGGAGACCCGGAGCCCGGAGAGTCAGGCGAAAAACAGAGAGTCTTGGATTAAAGCACATAAGAGTGGGTTACTGGAATTGTCGTAGTACAAAGCAGAGAGGACCTGTACTGGAGAGACTGATTTATGACTTAGATATCATCATGCTGCAGGAATTAAACATAGATAGATATGAGTGTCCTGGATACATTAGTTACATAAATCCTACTGGAAAGGGAAGAGATGTGAGTGAAAGTCCATGACTCACATCCATAAGTTGCCACAGGAAAGATGCATGATCTCAAAACCGTTACTTTAACTTGCAGGTGTTGTGCCATAGGTTCTTCATGCTATTTAACCTATGCATTGCTAAAGCAAGTCTTTTTTCTGACCTCTTTTGTGCAGTCACCGTTGTTGTTCATTAAAACTGTAAAACTGTCACCACGGTCAAGTTTTACGACTTTTTAGGCGGGTGTACAGGGAGGCCTTGAACCTGAGGAGTTAGGGCTGAATGGCTGATGCTGCCACCAAGGACTGTGCAGGCTAGGATGTCTAATTTTGCCTGACAGTAAATCTTCATTACCTTACTGGGAGTAAAGTAAGAGCCCAACGTTGTAGCTGCTTAGCCAGCCGCTCCTAATTACGGAGCCTAAATATTCAAAATACATTTCATTTTTAATCTCTTTGTTGTCGATTTCAATACATGTTTGGTGTGCTGTATTCATTGAGGACATTTAGTTTTTTCAGATTCCGAAATACATTCACTTCTTTACTGTTCTTTTTGACATTGGAAATTAAATTGTCTGAATAACCTTTCTGTAAATACACATTTTTATTTTGGAAAAACAAAGGACGTTCTTGATGCTGCAGAAAAGACATACGGTTGTGAGAGTTTGCAGGTGGCTCAGGCACACTGCTGTGTGAGCAGAGCTTTAATGTGTATGCAGATGGTGGATACAGATGACTATTATACACATGCCATGGAGGCAGTTCGGATCTCCAGACTGAATCTAGGCCAACACTCGCCACTCCTGCACAGTTTTCTACATACTTTTGGTGAGTAATTCATTCTGGCCGATTTGTTGTACTTGGACTTATTTTGTCCCATAAAGATATAATTGGACTTATTTTGTCCCATAAAGATATAATTGGACTTATTTTGTCCCATAAAGATATAATTAGACTTATTTTGTCCCATAAAGATATAATTGGACTTATTTTGTCCCATAAAGATATAATTGGACTTATTTTGTCCCATAAAGATATAACTGGAATCATTTTGTTCCCATGCGGGTTCAGGGCCTCATTATGTGGAAAAGAGGAATAAACCCACTGCCTCCCCATTTAGCATGTCGTAGGAGCTGACTGATTGGTGGTATCCGAAGCTGGAGTACATCTGCCTGAGTGGCAAGGAACAAAGAGGCTGCATCCAGATAAGCTAGATCTGTCGAACGGATGTGCACGCAACACTCGAGTTCTGGAACAAAGACTAAAGTCCAGAGGTGGACAAACACTCAGAACTGCTTCCCACAGGTTGAAGTAGTTAATAAAGAAATTGTCTAGTCTAGGCACACCATATTCTGTCAGTGCATAAGACACCCTCACATATATATAAGACAGCCCCTAATTTTGTTAACCCAAATTAAAGAAATAAATATTTTAATCACATTTCACGTCTATAAGATGACCTCCGATTTTAAACTTGAAAAAATTGGGAAATATATTGTCTTATACACAGAGAAATATTTTATACCTAGACATTAAAGATGACCGCCCCTCCCTCCCCTCTAATATTATATGTAGTTTATATCTGTAGACTACACCAGCTGATGATAATGCTTGATCTTTCAGCATATGCTCTACAACTAAAAGCCTTACATTGTCCAGAGGAAGTCGTTGATTCAACACTGCGATGGGCTGAGACTGAAGCCAAGCAAGCTTTGAACTTGGTAACCCAACAATTTGGAGAAATCAGCCTCAAAGTGGCTCAGATTTTACTTTTGCTGGGACAGATTAACTGCAAAATGAACAAGTAAGTTAATTTTCAAAATAAAAACTGTTTGTCATTCTTTGTTTGGTTATTTTTAGGGGTGCATCATTTGATAAGACTCAGATCTGGAGCATATTGTGAATCTTCTGTGCAGGATATTTGGGTGAGCAAGCTGAAAATTTCATAATTTTTGGCTACCAAAAAAAAAAAGGGGTACTCATTTGTATCAGGGTGCTTAATACACGTACAAATAAAGTACATTTAACAACTTAGTGACAACCGGTAAAGTTGATGGGAATAAAAAAAGAGAAAATATCTTAATAACGCTGCCAGATGTCTCAGGACAAGAATACCAACCTAGTCACAGACCCTGGCGATTGTGTGATATTGTCAGCTATTATAATTCACCTAGATCAGTTTGCCACATGATGATGGTGATGATGATGATGTTGATGATAATTATGATGACGATGACGATGATTGTGGAGACGATGACGATAACGATGACAATGATGAAGAAGAAGAAGACTAAATCTTCTTAGAAAGCTGGCTAAGTAATTGAATCTATCTGTTTATTTTCCCCTTCAAGGCTGCTGCTAGTTAAATTGACCACTTCTGATAAATATTGAATCACTTCCTGGATGGCAAACCAACATGAAAAGGAAACATCAGATAACCTGTTCAGCCTTCAAAAAAGTTAGAACTAGAGTACCCGTGACAGCTTCACCAAGTGATGTACCCCGCAGTCCAGTATCTAGTAGGGGATGATGATTTATTCAGCATGAAGCACAAGAATAAAAATATAATCAAAATTAGAATAAAACATGATCTAGAGAATGCCAGAATGCTAACCAGACATTTTTATGAAAAAGGATTCATGTTTCTCTCTAAGGGAAATGATTTAGATTTTACAATGACATGACATGACCATCATAAAAGTATGATATGATCATCTATCAGAATGTCTCATTAATGAGACGTTTTTATGATACACATGCCTCTCTCGTTTCTCTCAAACAGACCTCATGTTGTTGAGAAGTTGTCACATTACAATAAATGTATGTGCTATGTGATTCTTTGTTTGTCTCCAGCATTATAATAAATTTATTTGATATTTAATTCTCTTATCTCTTTCTAAATGACCTGAAGTTGCAGATGATACAATTTTACAACAAAAGAAATTTATGTGACACAATGTTCTTGTTTATCTCCAACAGACCTGACGTTGCGGAGTCATATCTCAAACAGGCCGTGGACTACCTGAAACTCTGCCAACCTTCCTTCAGCAATTACCTCCTCTTGGGCATGGCCAACCTGGCCAGTTTCTACAAAATTATCCTCAGGCCTGAACTGGCCATCCCAAGGTTCCAGTTTGTTGTTGATCACATTGGTGAGTTCGGTTATTTTTACATAAACATTGTTTTCTTTGATTTTACTCAAAGTCTGTATGGTCAGATCCCCGTGTTTGTTCCAGGGCCAAGTTACAGGAAGGGACAGAAAGAAGAAACTCACTGTCTCCGTAACAAGCATGTTGTAGATAAAAGTTGACTGATTAACAGTGTTGTTTCCTTCAGAGTCGGAGTGCATCTGTCTGAGGTGCGAGGAACTAACCATCTGTTTACAGATCAGCCAAATTTGTGAAATTGATGTGCACTTAAAACTCAAGTTCTGGAACAAGACTGAAGTCAAGAAGTAGGTGAACAACCAGAACTTTTGGCTTAAGTTTACAGCCAGTGAAGGTGAAAAAGAAGAAGAAAAATAACAAGAGGAAGAATGATCAGAGAGCAGATTTGAAATATTTAATTCAAATTGTCCATCTGTTATAGAGAATAGTCAGACGAAGGAGAGAGTTGTTTGCCATCAAGCAAACAGAGAATGAATGAATGAAAACAATATTTTTTCTTGTCTGTTTTTCTGTTTTCTGAACATACATTGTTTTTGTTTTTTTCACCGTGTGGTTATTTTTGTGGGACAGTTATGGAAAACAAATTAACAAGTTTCATTGGTACTCATAGATGCATCTAGTCTGTCATGTTAAAAAGTACATGTGTTCCTGTAGTGATCTTGTCATCATTTGGAGGTGACAGGTTCATTTTCCAGTATGGTACGTTAAATAGATGCTCTAATCTGACATCAGATTGTTGGAGATAAACAAGAGAATTGCGTGTCACATATATTTCTTGCATTGTAACATCCTTTCATCGGCAAAGTCAGGTCTGTTGGAGAGAAACAAGAGAATTACCTGTCACATAAATTTATTGCAATGTGACATACATATGCTTTTGATTATTATGTTATCTAGTGTGTCTTATCTCTACTTCATTTCTTTGCATCTATGAATGACAATCAGTACATGTTCATTTGTTTGTCAAACTATTTGTACAGCCTGAAGGGGTCCCAAAAATTTTTTCTGTGGGGATCATTTTGTTATTTTTTGGTAGAGATGTAGTGAAAACTTATTTGAAGCAGCGGAGATGTGCTTTTTAAGACGAATGATGAGAATACCCTGGACAGATAAAAAAGAGCAACGAAGGTGTCTTAATAAACTGACTCCCCAAGAGAGCTGATTGCTCAGATCAGAAGAAGACAATCTAAATTCTTTGGTCATGTAATGTGAAGGAGAAAATGAGTACATATTGATGGTGTGAAAGTTGGAGGGAAAACAAAGACGGATGGAGACTGAGGGAGAACTGCTGGACAGTTTGAAACATGGCATGAAGATCATCTGTGTCTGAATTAATTGAAAGTACATGAGACAGAGGGAGAACTGCTGGACAGTTTGAAACATGGCATGAAGATCATCTGTGTCTGAATTAATTGAAAGTACATGAGACAGAGGGAGAACTGCTGGACAGTTTGAAACATGGCATGAAGATCATCTGTGTCTGAATTAATTGAAAGTACATGAGACAGAGGGAGAACTGCTGGACAGTTTGAAACATGGCATGGAGATCATCTGTGTCTGAATTAATTGAAAGTACATGAGACAGATGGTTGTGGATAGACGCTACTACTAATGCCACATGGCATGGATTATAAGAAGCAGAAGGGATTAGTCTTATTGATTTGTATACTTTGACTTTTTGCTAAAATATTTGTCTTTTATATGTAAATTTTTTTCTTTCACAGAGTTTTCTTGTTGCATTTTGTGGTAATTCATTCATGCTATGCCCATTGGAAATTATTCCATACTTTTAATTTGTTTATTTTCCCCAACAGAAACTACTGACTGGTACTGCAAGTGGGTGCATGAATGTTTTGAAGAGCTATCACAGCTTTACCATTCACTTGGCCAGGAGGACAGTGCAGAGGCAGTCCAGTATAAACTGTCCCAGTGGCTGAAAGTCAATCCAATGAACAATAAGCCTGTGGAATATTCCAGACTAAAACAAGAACCAGAGGCATTTGAATCCTTTCTGGCAAAAGCTGATTTGTGGACTTTTATTGTGCTGAAAGTTCTGGATGCCCCCATGAAGGTGTCAGCTGATTCACAGAGTGGTGAAGAAGTCTAGTGAAAGTTTTGATGACATGAATATTATCTAATTAATATGTAGTATATATATATATGTATGTGTGTGTGTGTGTATGTGTGTGTGTGTGTATTGTTGCATAAACGGGCACAAAAACAACTGGGCAAAGCTGTGGAAAAAGAATGAAAGTGGCTGTGGACACAACTGAACGTCGGGGGTGGGGAGGGGGCTCGGTAAACTGGTCTGACCGAGTCTCTAGTGGAAAAGAGCTTTACATCCTTAAAAGCCAGAGTGCCTGATAAATGTCTGCCAGTGTCTGCCAATTGCCAAAGTCTTACGTCTGTCTGATAAACCAGCCGCAAGCTTGTCACTCTGGTCGTGAAGGTAGGCAGCTAATTTGCTACCGCAGCGACAGTATATAACACCAAATCTCACAATACCTGTTGCAAAGTTACCATTTTATCTTGTCCCTGTCTGAAAGTTCGATAAAGTGCAGCAGGGAATGTCCGAGGCCTTGCGTCATGAACCAGATTGGCCCACCTTCCGAGATTGCCTAGGGATATAATGAACCGAAACATTCATCGATGAGGAACCTTTCTACTGATGATCGATTGACCCCTGCTGAGCATGCTCCTACTATGGAGTTCTTCTTCTTGTTGTTGTTGTTTGTCCATCCCATATGACGAGGACAACTTTCTTTCATCCTTTATGAAACTTTAGTTGATTGACTATGAGTCTAGAGGATCTAGGAAAATGAGGGCAGAGAATAGTGTCTGTAGAAAAGGGGTCTGTTATACGGGTATTTCTAACAGGATTTTGCTGTTCAGCTGTCTCAGAGTCACTGCACCTCTTTGGATAGATGTTCGTTTTATAGTTTGGTCTTGTGCAGCGGCCTCTTAAATGTCAGGGTTTATACCAGGGCTATTCAGCTGGCGGCCAGCGGGCCAGATTTGTTTTTGTTATCCAAATAATGTAACAGTGTGAATCCATGTTTTTGTTATCTAAATAATGAAACAGTGTGAATCCAGGTTTTTGTTATCCAAATAATGATACATTGTGAATCCATGTTTTTGTCATCCATATAATGAAACAGTGTGAATCCATGTTTTTGTTATCTAATTAGTTATACAATGTGAATCTATGGTTTTGTTATCCAAATAATAATACAGTGTGAATCCATATTTTTGTTATCCAAATAATGAAACAGTGAGAATCCATGTTTTTGTCTACCATATAATGAAACAGCGTGAATCCATATTTTTGTTATCTAATTAATTATACAGCATGAATCCATGTTTTTGTTATCCAAATAATGATACATTGTGAATCCATGTTTTTGTTATTCAAATAATGACACAGTGAATCCATGTTTTTGTTATCCCAGAAAAGACCCTGTGAATCATTGTTATTATCAACCAGGAGACAGTGTGAATTCATGTTATTGTTGTTGCAGAAGAGATAATGTGAAATTTGTTGTCCCAGAAGAAATTCACAGGGAATCCATTTTGTTATCTAAGACAAGATACTATGTGATCCATGTTTTGTTATCTAAGACAAGATACTATGTTAGTTAGTTAGTTTTTCCTCTTGTGTCGAGTGCGGCACATAGGGCAGAGGTCGTGACTCTCCATGCACGGCGGTCCGTTGCAATCCGTTGTAGGTCTTGGATGTTTGAGTGGCCCATGAGCGAGCCTTCCCTGATGATAGTTCTACGTAGGGTTTCCCTTGGTCTTCCACGAGATCTTTTCCCCTGTGGTGTCCAAATGAGGGCTTGGTAAGGAAGTCTTGATTTATCCATTCTAAGGACGTGGCCGACATAGTTCCAGCGGCGTTTTCGTATAAAATTAGACACATACTCTTGCCTGGATTCTTGCCTTATTTGTGTATTGGTTCGGAAATCTGACCATTTGAAATTTAGTATTCTTCTAAGGCATTTATTTTCAAAACTGTCTAATTTTGTGTCTAGAGTTTTCGTTGATTTCCAACTCTCGCATCCATAGGTTAGTACTGGAATCACACAAGAATGAAGATCTTGAGTTTTGTGTGTTTGCTAAGTGTCTTTGATTTCCAGATGTTAGACAGTTTATTGAAGGCACTAGATGCCAGTGCTATTCTAAATGATATTTCTGGTGCGGTATCTCCTGTAGATGACATCTTGCTCCCTAGATAAGTGAAACTGTTGACTTTTTCAAGGCTGTTGTTGTTCAGCGTGATATCAACTGAACTGTTGGTAAGGTCTAGAATTTTTTGTTTTTGCGGTGTTAATTTGGAGTCCAATTTGTTCTGAGAAATTCTGGAGTCGATTGATTTGTTCTTGGGCGTCTGTGTGTTCTGAACTCAGGAGTGCTATGTCGTCGGCGAAGTCTAGGTCTTCCAGAATTTTGTCAACCCATGTAATGCCTAAATTTGCGTTATTTATGCACTTGCGCATGACCCAGTCGATTGCTATACCAAAAGCATCGGCGATAGGACACAGCCTTGCTTCACTCCTGTTTTCCACCGGGAACCAGTCAGAATTGCCGGAATCAGTTCTTACACAGCATCGTGTTTCATTATAAAAAGATTTTATGATGTTGATATATTTGATGGGAACCATAGATGTTAAGCAATTTCCAGAGTGTTGGACGATGGATACTGTCGAAGGCTTTTTGAAAGTCGACAAAGTTGATCAATAATTTCGACTGGAATTCTGTAGAATCTTCAACAATTATTCTAAGAGTAAAGATGTGGTCTATGCATGACCGCTTGGATCTAAAACCGGCTTGTTCTCCCTTAATCTTTCATCTATGGATTTTTTCAATCTTTCTAGTAGCATACTACAAAATAGTTTCCCTGGTATCGAAAGCAGGGTGATGCCTCTCCAGTTGTTACAATCGGATAAATCACCTTTTTTAGGTAATTTGAAGATTACACCATCTTTCCATTGTTGTGGTGGGTATTCGTTTTGCCAGACTTCATCCATCAGCTGGAGCAAATGTTGCAGGGTGTTTTTCATCCGCTGCTTTGAGCATTTCCCCTGAGATGTTGTCCTCTCCGGTAGCTTTGTTTATTCTTAATTTTTTTAATAGCTGTTTTAATCTCCTCTATTGTGAATGACTCGCTGGAGGCAATTAGTGTTGGTGTAATAATTTCTTCTTCTAAATTGGTAATGATGTCAGGATTTGGCCTATTTAATATTTCCTTGAAATGTTCTGCCCATCGCTTTGTTTGTTGGTCGTCGGATAGCAGTAGTTTACCCTGCTTGTCTTTAATGGGTGTATTTAGTGTAGGTGAGTGATTGCACAGTTGTTTCATAATATGGAATACGGCTTTGTTGTTTCCAATCTTGGCAGCTGTTTCAGCATCGGAGGCGAGGTCGTGTATGAAGTTCTGTTTGTCTTTCCTTGCATTTGATTTCACTTTCTTTGTCTAGCGTACTGTATTTTTCGTATGAAGATGTGTCTTTTTTGGATAAAAGTGTTAATTTTGCTTGTTTCCTTTCTTGGATTTTTGACCAGGTGTTGTCGCTTAGCCACTTCTTCTTCTGCTTTTGTACATAACCAACTGTGTTTACTGCAGCGTTCGTCAGTGTGTTCTTGAAAAAGTCCCAATTTGTGTCTATGTTATTTGTAGTATCCGCATTATTAGTTTTGGTTACATAGGAGATACTATGTGATCCATGTTTTTTGTTATCTAAGACAAGATACTATGTGATCAATGTTTTTGTTATCTAAGACAAGATTCTATGTGATCCATGTTTTTGTTATCTAAGACAAGATACTATGTGATCCATGTTTTTGTTATCTAAGACAAGATACTATGTGATCCATGTTTTTGTTATCTAAGAAAGATACTATGTGATCCATGTTTTTGTTATCTAAGACAAGATACTATGTGATCCATGTTTTTGTTGTCCTAGTACTAGAAAAATATGTATCAGATATTGCTGAAATTTATAATAAAATAACTAACATAAAAACAACAGAAAAAAACTGGAAATAAATAAAACTTGTTGCCAACTTGAGGAGTTGAAAAAAAAAAGTGTGACAGAAAAAATATGTAAAAAAAAAAAAAAATTAAAGAACTAAATGGATGAATTGATATAATTGCACTCCGGACACTCCCATATTTATATGTCCGAGAGAGAGTCAGTGCATTCCTTTGGTTAGTGAAGATAGTAGGTTAGTTGTGTATCCTTTACAGGGACGTTGCAGAACCAACCCTGACAGTCCCTGACTGTTGTGTGTTTTCTAGGCAAATTTTCATCCAGTAGTTTTGCCATTGCTTTCTGGACGGTCGGCTTTCTTGATACCACTGTCGAAACCAATGCAAGGGGCATGGCCCGCAGTGGATCGATCTCGGACTTGGCACAGAGCCAATGAAGATAGAAGGCAGGTAGAATTAAGAAAGGTACTGTTACCATTCAGCACTGAGGTAATGTATGAATGCTTACTTTGAGGTGTACTTTTATGCTGGAGTTACTGTATTTTTATGGAGATCGTTGGGGATCGTCGCCGGAGCTACGGAGTTCATGCTCTGCCCGGCACTCTCGGCAGGTTGTAGACGTTCTGCGAAGTGAGACAGAGCCATACAGGATAAAACCCGGTGCAATGATCCTCACGACTTTAGGCTTTTTATTCCCCAACTTTTTTTAAACCTTTAATTGTAATGTTTTTATATGATTTTTATACTATTTCTTTTATACTAGAATTCTTTAAACATAGTATACTATTTCTTGCAAACAGAAATAGAATAACAAATATAATATAAAATTTGAAGAACCTGAAATGAGAAAAAAGAAAGCATGTAAACAATATAATGAGTTAATTCCTTTTTCTTGGTCCTGAAGCTGGCTCCCCCGTTGTTATCTCTTCTGCTGTTGGAATGGACTGGATTGGCTTTGTGGCAATTGATGCTCCCTGGCCCGTCTTGACTGTTACTGGACACTCTCTTCTGACTCTTGTAGCACACTGCCCTTGTATTGTCTTGTGATCTGAGTCTGTCGATGATAATTAAGAAACTAGCATTAGTTTATGCTCATCTCAGTGCACCTGATCTGCCCCTAAAAGTCTTTATTCTCAATGTAGTGCAACGAATCTACTACACAAAGTTGACTATTTATACCGATCACTTATTCTCTGCTGTTCACTTAGTATGTATCACGTCACTTTAATTTTTCACCATAAATTTGTTAATAAATGTTCGATTCTCACTGAAACACTTTTTCTTCTAGAGAATGTACGTAGTTTCACTTTACAACGGTGAATATTCTGATCACAATCGATCACTGTTTTACTGTCTATCCATTATTGTTAGTGAACATTTCGTAACGCAATTAATATCGCTGAACACCACCTCCTTTCTTGCCAACATAATTAACACTTGGACTCCCCACTTATACTGACGTATTACATTACATTTAGACTAGTAATAAGACTGAATTCTACATTTCGTGTTGACTGTTGACTTGAGTTACTGTCCCGAAATACTCACTGTGTTTTGTTGACATGAATTCTAACGTGTTGCAGTTATTGATTACCGTCTTGGCCCCTGGCTTGTTGTGGCAAGTGTGTTTGACGAAAAAACCCACGTCTGTTCACACAGATACAATTGCTTTTTGGAGACTTTTACTTCATGATTACCCACCAGCAACTGATGACCAATTAGATGCGCCCTACACTGTGTTGGACCAGTCGACGAACAAAACGGTTCCAAATACCGGCCAGTTTAGGATGAGCCTCTAATGTAATTCATACTTAGAAATTACAACGTATTCCCACTTAGGACGAGCTCCCAATGTAATGAATGTACTGTGTCTCCTGCACATTTGATCTCTCTAGTGCAGATTCAACACTGACTCTGTTGTCTAAGTGTTAGGTCACAGCTCATTCTAACCAGACGGCATTTCTCTCCACGGCCACACAACTTCAAATGACGGTCGACACCAGCTGACACATTTCACAGGTTTATTGTCACTGAAGCACAAGACACGAATCAACAGATGAACCAACTTACGCCATTCGGGCAATCTCGCCTTGCTCACGCATTGAGGCTCCAGACATGCTTCAGACGATGGACACTGGCATGTACACGGCTGGCTCAACAATCAAACCGTGTAACACAAAGGCTGGCCTAAACAATCATTCAATAGCGCTGGTTGTCTTGTCGTTCAGCGCTAACATCCATTCGACTCTGATTCAGATCCACGTGCACTCTTCACTCTGGATTCATCTACACAGATTCAGCTTCACATCCTTCCAATCTGGGGCCCAGTCACAGAATTACCACCTCATTCTCAATCCTCCAGATCTCGCATCCACACGTGACTCACTCACTCTTGTCTTTTCGCCATATCTCCGCCAAACCCATGCTATCAGGGATTTAACCAATTATGCCAGTCATCCCCTGACGTTATCCCTATTTATAGCATCATTACAATACCCCGTGTTTGTTTCACGTGGCAACACGTGGTGGTCCTTTACTTTCACGTGGTGACCTGTGGTCGCTATCATCGGGTTTCACATGATAACTCGTGGTCATTACCTATCTTGAAAACCTCCGGTAATCCGAGTGTCTGGCTTCTCTCGGTATTTTGGTTAACCTTGGGCTTTCCCCCCAACCTTTCTAATCATGGTGAAAATATCCCCCATTACAATCGCTATACAGGTACCTCAGTTTGCTTTCTCTTTTAATGTTTCTGGAACATTAGCTCTTAAAATTATATTGTCCAGAGCACAGTAAAACAGTCGCCTTTTCTGAGTTGACAGCTCATTGGCCCCAGCCACCTCTAGCTGATCTGACCCGTGACAAGAGCTGAGCAAGTTCCGGACACCTTAACACAAGCTGCTTGTGACAAGAGTGGAGCAAATCCCTGACACCTCATCCCAGGTCAACTCGTGCCATGATTGAAACAAGCCAAATAAAACTCACTACGAGAACGAAACAAGCCATGGAACGGAACCACCCCACCCCCCATCTCAGGCCGACTGAAGCGATTCAAGCCCTGGACACCTCATGCCAGCCGACCCATGACGAGAGCGGTGCAAGCCCTGGACACGTCATGTTAGGTCAACCCGTGACGAGAGCGAAGCAAGCCCCGGACACCTCATTAAGCCCTACCCGGGACGAGGGCGGAGCAAGCCCCGAACACCTCATCCCAGTCCGACTGGTGACTGGAGCGGACAAGCCTTGGACACCTCATGCCAGGCCGAACCGTAACGAAAGTGAAGAAAGCATCGTACACCTCATCCTAGATAAATTCGTGCTAGAGCGGAGCGGAGAGAGCGGAGCAAGCCCCGGACACCTCATCCCAGGTTGATACAAGACGCGGACACGTCATCCCAGGCCAACTCGTGCAAAGAACGAAACATGTCAAGGACACCTCATGCCAGGCCGAAGCGTAACTAGAGCGGAAAAAACCCGGCCACGTCATGCCATTCCGAATCATGTTAGGTCAACCCGTGACGAGAGCGAAGCAAGCCCCGGACAACTCATTAAGCCCTACCCGTGACGAGAGCGGAGCAAGGCCCGAACACCTTATCCCAGTCCGACTGGTGACTGGCGCGGACAAGCCCTGGACACCTCATGCCAGGCCGAACCGTAACGAAAGTGGAGAAAGCATCGTACACCTCATCCTAGATAAATTCGTGCTATAGCGGAGCGGAGAGAGCGGAACAAGCCCCGGACACCTCATCCCAGGTTGAAACAAGACGCGGACACGTTATCCCAGGCCAACTCGTGCAGAGAACGAAACATGTCAAGGACACCTCATGCCAGGCGTAACTAGAGCGGAAAAACCCCCAGCCACGTCATGCCATTCCGAATCGTTACTAGCAAGCCATGGAAACCTTATGCAGGATGACCCGTGACGAGAGCTGTGCAAGTTCCAGACACCTCAACACAGGCCGCCTGCGATGAGAGTAAAGCAAATCCCTTACACCTCATCCTAGGTCAACTCCTGCCGAGATTGAAACAAGGACCAGACACCTCAAAGCAAGTCAAGACCCATCATCACAGGCTGATCTGTAACTAGAGCGGAACAAGACAGGTCACGGACACCTAATCCTAGGCCGACCCGTGACTATAGTAGAGCACACCCTGGCCATCTCTTGCCCTCTGACCCGTGACGAGAGCAGTGCAAGCCCCGTCCACCTCTGGCTAATCTGACCCGTGACGAGAGTGGAGCAGTCCCCTAAAACCGTATGCAGGATGACTCGTGGCGAGAGCCGAGCAAGCCACGACCACATGCCCACCCGTGACAAGATCGGAGCAAGCCCCGGACACCTCATCCCAGTCGACTCGTGACTAGAGCGGAGCAAGCCCCGGCCACCTCATTCTAGGCCAACTCGTGCCGAGATTGAAACAAACCCCGGACATCTTTTGAAAGGATAGCTTGTGCCGAAATTGAAACAAGTAACGGACACCTCATCCCAGGCCTACCCGTGACTAGACAGGAAAAAAGCTACGGCCACCTCATGCCAGGACGATCCGTGACTTCTCATTCCAGGTTAACTCGTGTCGAGGTTGAAACAAGTCCTGAGATGAATTTGACAATATATCCTTACATCCTTATTAGGAGGTAATTTTTTGTTATTTGAAGCCTCACCCTGGCTGCAATATAGGCAGGCCATAAATATGGCCAATTGTCTGAACGCGGATTCTGGGACCTCTCCACGGTGATCCTCATCCACATGGTGGCACTTTATGTCATCGGGTGTTTATCGCTTGTGTGATATCCTGGTGGGGTTGAAAGTCAGTCATTCAGTCAAACAAGTCCTGGACACCTCATCCCAGGCCAACTCGTGCTGAGAACGAAACAAGTCATGGACCCCTCATCCCAGGCTGACCCGTAACTAGAGCGGAGCAAGCCCGGACCACCTAAAGCCAGGCTGACCCTTGACGAGAGTGGTGCATTCCTCAGTACCTCATACCAGGCCAATTCGTGCCGAGATTAAAACAACCTCCGGACATCTCATGCCCGGTTAGCTCGTGCTGAGATTGAAACAAGTCACGGACACTTCTTGCCACGTGATCCGTGACGAGAGCGGAGCAAACCCCGTCTACCTCTTTGTCATCTGACCCATGACTACAGAAGAGCCAGCAAGGAACATTCAATCCCAGGTTAACTAATTCCGAGGTCGAAACAAGCCCCGGACACCTCCCTTATAGCCGACCAGTGACTAGAGCGGAGCAAGCCCCGGACACGTAATGCTTGGCCGACCCGTGACGAGAGCGGGGTAAGCCCCAGCCACGTCTTAGAAATCTGACATCTATCTACGACTTTTGGTGAAGTTATACCGCTTTCTGGCAAGACGCACCAATTCCACCTTCAACAAGGTCGTCCTGAAAAGACTGTTTATGAGCAGGACAAACCGCCCTCCTCTGTCGGTGTCCAAGCTGGTCCGTTTAATGAAGAAGCCAGGCCGTGAAGACAAGATTGCTGTGGTAGTTGGAACAATCACTGATGACATCCGCATCCATGCACTGCCAAAACTTAAGATATGTGCCCTGCGTATCACTGATCGTGCACGTGGCCGCATTCTGAAAGCTGGAGGCGAGATTCTGACCTTTGACCAACTTGCTCTGCTTGCCCCCAAGGGACAGAAAACTGTCTTGGTTCAAGGTCCACGCAAGGCTCGCAAAGCCTTCAAGCACTTTGGATTGGCTCCGGGTGTGCCCCACAGCCACACTAAGCCTATTGTTCGCTCCAAGGGTCGCAAGTTTGAGAGAGCACGTGGTCGCAGAAAGAGCAGAGGATACTAGGCATAAGTTTAGTGGATTCTACATTCTGTTGTATTTCCAGTGCTGTCTGTTCAATAAAGAATGGACATTTAAAAAAAAAATCAATAGAGCGTTCTCTTTAAAACAAAAAAAAAAACAAAAAAAAACTATAGCGTAGAAAGCCCGACCACCTCATGCCAAGCTGACCTGTAACGAGAGCGGAACAAACCTCAGCCACATCATGCCAGGTTGATACGTTACCCTTTTGGCTAAGACTAAAGTGTAGCTTTGCTGCACTGGTCTGGCCAAAAGAGCCCGGGATCGGTCATATCCAAGTCACGGGAGAAACCCAATCGGCAATGCCATCTTAAAAAATCTGCCGGGCGGTTTCTCCGTTCAGTCTTGATTACCGACGTAATATCCTTCAAATACAAAAAAATATCGTCCTAAAAAGGACGAAACACCAAGGATAGGTGAATATATGCCCGATGCGCCGACAGGCGTGAAAATGGATCTTTACTTTACTTTTACTTTTACCTTATCCTAGATCAATTGGTGCCGTGACTGATAAAAGCCCCAGACATCTTATACCATGTTAGCTCGTGCCGAGATTGAAACAAGTCACGGAAACCTCATCCTAGGCCAACTCTTGCCAAGAAGCAAACAAGTCACGGACATCTCATCCCAGGCCGACCCGTGACTAGAGCGTGGCAAACACTGGCCACATCATGCCATTTTCGACCCGTGACAGGAGCGGAACAAGCCCCAGGCACCTCATCCCAGAGGGAATTGTGACTAAAGCGGAGCAAGTCCCGGACACCTCATCCCAGGTTAACTCGTGCCGAGGTTGAAACAAGACCCGGACACGTCATCCCAGACCAACTCGTGCAAAGAACGAAACAAGTCAAAGACACATCATCCCAGGTCGTCACGTGACTAGAGCGGAGCAACCACCGGACACCTCATGCCAGGCCGACCCCTGACGACAGCGTAGCAAGCCCCAAACACATCATCCCAGGCCCATCCGTAACTAGAGCGCACAACAGATCCAGTTTCGTCCTTTTCAGGACGAAATTTTTTGTTATTTGAAGCCCTACTCTGGCTTTTGCCAGGGGCCGCAATATAGGCAGGCCATACATATGGCCAAATGTCTGAACGCGGTTTCTGGGACCTCTCCACGGCGATCCTCATCCACATGGTGGCACTTTGTGTCATCGGGTGTTTATCGCTTGTGTGATGTCCTGGTGGGGTAGAAAGTCAGTCAGTCAGTCAGGAATTAGAATTTCTCAGCAACTCTGTCAACCAGCTGAAGGTTGCTCAAGGCAAGTTCACAGAATCAGAGGAAGCTGTCTCAAACCTTGGGGATGTAGGGTCTCCTATCTTGGTCCCACTAACTGCTTCAATGTATGTTCCTGGACAGCTCAGTGAGGTCAATGACCTTCTTATAGATATCGGAACTGGTTATTACGTTTCAATGAACAAAGAAAAGGCCCAGGACTTCATCAAGAGAAAGACTGAATACCTGACTAAAAACATAGAGAAGGTCCAGCCAATCCTGCAGGAGAAGTACAGGTCCAAGTAAGTAATCACCGAGGTCATGCAGGCCAAAATTCAAGCTCAGCTGGCAGCGAGTTCAGTTGCTGCGCCAGCAGGACCAAAGTCGTGATCTGCAGAATATTTCTACAGATTTGAGTCTTTAGAGTGACAGTTCACTAGATCTTTTATATCTGTGTAGATACATACTCTTCGAAAGCAAGTTAAGAGCTTCTGTAATACAAGTAATGGCCAAATTTGTAGGTTTATTTTCTCCTAAGGCAAGTCTTTGTCAGTACCAGGACATGGTATATTCATTGATTACTCTCCACATGTTATACATTTCATCAGCTTTTCTGTCCTGTTATCACTTTATTCTGCTGTCTCACAAGTGATTATTCTAACCATTCTGAGCTGTGGCTGTAATATTTTAACTCTCAAGACCCCATAGAAGATTTTTAGTCTAAAGTAGACAGCCTTGGGGAGAGATATTATAGTAAAGAAAGCTGTCTGAAATGGAAAGAGTTCAGAACGCATGCGTTACAATAGTGGTTTCATCTGTAGGTTCAAGTTTACAAGTGAACTTTAACTGAAACAGCTGCAATAAATTTAATAGTATAATCTGTAGATAGTAGTCACTTCTCAAACAAGTTAGTAGAGCAGAGCAAGTATGGCAAAATGTCCTCTGAATGTCTGTTTATACTTCATTTTGAATACATATAATATGCGAATTTGTGTGTGTGTGCTGTTTGTGTTTTTATTTTAATAAACTTGTGAACATTCTCAGAATTGCAAAAACCAAACACAAAAAAACAACAAAAAAAAAACAAAAAATAATCCGTAACTAGAGCGGGGCAGGCATGGACACCTTAACAAAGGCCTCCTGTTACGAGAGTGCAGCAAATCCCTGGCATCTCATTAAAGATCATCTCGTGCCGACATTAAAACAAGTCCAAGACACCTCATTCTAAGCCAACTCGAGCCGAGAACAAAACATACCACGGACCGCTCATGCCAGGCCGAAGCGTAACTGGAGAGGAGCAAACCCCGGCCACCTTATGCCAATCCGACCCTTGACATTAGCGAAGCAAGCCCCGACCATCACATGCCAGGACGACCTGTGACTAGAGCGGAGCAAGCCCGGGACACCTCATGCCAGGACGATCCGTGACGAGAGCGGAAAAAACGCCTTGACACATCAACCCAGATAAACTCGTGCCGAGAATGAAACAAGCCCTGGACATCATATGCAAGGGCGACCCGTGACGAGAAAAGAGCATGCCCAGGCAGCCTCTTGCCAATTATACCCGTGACGAGAGATGAGCAAGCCCCGGCCACCTCATGCCAGACCGACCCGTGACGAACGGTGAGCACGCTCCAGACACCTCATGCCAGGCCAACTCGCGCCGAGAACAAAACAAGTCACAGACACCCCATCCCAGGCCGACCCGTACCTAGAGTGGAGCAAACACCGGCAACATCACGCGAGAACGATAAGGGACGAGAGCGGAGCAAGCCCTAGACACCTCATCCCAGGCCAGCTCGTATCGAGAACGAAATAAGTCATGGCTCTCCTCCCGTAACTAAAGCGGAGCAAGCCCCGGACACCTTATGCTAGGACGATCCGTCACGAAAGAGGAGAAAGTCCCTTGACACATCATCCCAGATCAACTCGTGCCGAGATAGAAACAAGCCCCTGATATCATATGCAAGGCCGACTGTCAGGACCTGGTGAGAACAGTCATGTGGCGGAATAGACCACACAAAAGGATGTACCGTGTCCAGGGTTCACCCCAGGGTTGACACAAAAGTCAATGGCGTGACTAGCCAAGTCTGTGCTGTTTGCGCGGTGAAACTAGCGCTTAGTAGAGACCACTTAAAGACGACTAGTTTGCAACGTAATTGCCCCACGAGGGACTGAGCAGGTCAACGGGTCAAAAGACACGAGGTGAGAGAACACATCGGGATTCGGTGTGCAGTGTTCAGACCGAGCAGACGTGTTAGCGAGACAGTGATAGAAGATTAAAGTTAGGATATTTCTTTAGTGACTACATCAACTATGTATAGTGTTCTTTTAGAATATGATAGTCTTTTGTGCTGTGTATTTAACTGGTACAATGTTTCACAATAAGTAAGTAGTGTCCAGTTATTTCTGACCAGTTAAATTGGTTGGGTACATGTTCTTTGAGAGAATGTCTAACCTTGCCACTGTGACCCTGCACTAGGCAGAGGCTGTGACATCTTGGTAGGTCAGTGTGTCAGTAGGAAAGAAAGTATCCCGCCCAGGTGTGGTTTGTGCGCCAGAGATTGCCCGTGGAACGGACTGGAGAGCGAGGCGACTGTAAAGCTCGTTCGGCCAGAGGGTCCAGGCAATAGGTGGCCACACAGCGGGAAGTCAACTGTCAGTTGTATCACTTTTACTTGCAATACGATAAAAGAGCATGCCCAGGCCAACTCTTGTCAATCTGACCCGTTACGAGATAGGAACAAGCCCCGGCCATTTCATGCCAGGCCGACCCGTGGCGAACGCTGAGCAAGCCACGGACACCTCATGCCAGGCCAACTCGCGCCGAGAATAAAACAAGTCACAGACACCCCATCCCAGGCCGACCAGTGACTAGCGTGGAGCAAGCCACTGACACTTTATCCCAGGGTAACTCATGCCGAGATTGAAAAAAAAGACCCGGACACCTCACGCCAGGCCAGCTAGTGTCGAGAACAAAACAAGACACGGACACTTCTTCCCAGGCCGACCCAACTGACCCGTGACAAAAGTATGGCAAGCCCCGGCCACCTCTTGTCAATCTGACCCGTATCGAAAGCTGAGCAAGCCCCGGAAACCTCATACAGGATGACCCGTTGCGATTGCTGAGCAAGTTCCAGTAACCTCAACACAGACCGCCTGTGACGAGAGCGGAGCAAGCCCAGGACAACCCATTCCAGGTCAACTCCAGCCGAGAACGAAACAAGTCATGGTCTCCTCATCCCACTCCGACTCGTAACTCGAGCAAGCCCCTGACACCTCATACCAAATCAACTCGTGACGAGAGCGGAGCAAGCAACGAACACCCAGTCCTAGGTTAACTCGCTCTCTGCTCAAAACAAGCCCTGGAACACCTCATCAAAAGCCGACCTGTTATAGAGACACCTCATTCCAGGCCGACCCGTGGCGAGAGCCCGGAAACCTCATGCAGGATGACCTGTGACGAGAGCCGCGTAAGTTATGGACACCTCAACACAGACCGCCTGTGACGAGAGTGGGGCAAATCCCTGACACCTCAACCAAGGCTAACTCGTGCCGAAAAAAAAACAAGCCCCGGACCCCTCAGCACAGGCCGACCGTAATTAGAGCGGAGCAAGCCCAGGCCACGTAAGGCCAGGCCGACACCTGACGACAGCGGAGCAAGCCCCAAACACCTCATACCAGGCCCGAGGTAACTAGAGCTCGGACACCTCAACACAGGCCACCTATGACGAGAGTGGAGCAAATCCCTGACATCTCATCCCAT